ATCCACCGTCAGCTTTGTCAGGTAATACAGGTTGTACACACTTAGGGCATACGGCGTATTCGAAGTGAGCTTAAGAGTGAAAAGTGAAAGAGGTCCTTTAAAGGAGGAAAGAGATTGGTTAATTGAAAAAAAGTTTAAATATTCTAAAAAATAAAAGCATTTTCTTATATTCTGGGAGGCGTTATGGTCAGTGGAGAGGTGGTAGGTTACGGTGGTAATTTAGAAGAAGGCACTCAAACAAGAGAGGAGGTTTTCAATCAACCTAGGGTGTCAGTAGCAGAGAAGTTAGAGGTGTGTGAGCTCAGAGGAGGAATTTAGCTGCGATTGGCTGAAACAAGCTGATTCTGGAGCAAATGACTGAGCTTACAGAACTGGCGAGTTGGCTTGTATTCAGGACATGATTCATTATCAGAGATTCCTTCATGTCAGTCACAGGTTTGTGAAGTTTCTTGAGGTCAGCCTTATATTTAACCTGTATGTTAAGAGGGAAAAGGATATTATGTAAATAGGGGATAGTAAACAGTACGAGTGGAAACCATAGTAAGACTCATCCAGAAACAAATGCTGGAGATGGTGATGAAAAACCGTGTCTTAGTCATGTAGCCAAAAAGTGGAAACAGCATAATTCATCAATAGGTGAACAAATAAACAGAATGTTTTATACATATAATGGAATATTATTTAGCCATAAAAAGGAATGAAATTCTGGATACACATTACAACATGGATGAACCTTGAAAACATTATGTGGGTGAAATCAGTCAGACAAAAGAGACAAATATTGTATGATTCCACTTATATGAAATCTCTAATAGGCAAATTCATTGGAATGCAAAGTAGCTTAGGGATTACCAGTGAGGGGAATGGAGAGTTTTTTGTTAATATAGAGTTTCTATTTGGAGGTGATAAAAAGTTTTGGAAATCATGGTGGTAGCTGGACAAAATTGTGAGTGTAACTAATGTCTGGAAAAATAGTTGAATGACAAATTTCATGTTATATATTTTACCACAATTTAAAAAACATACCTCACTTGCGAGATTGTTAGCATCTTTCATGACTTTGTAGAGCTGGCTGTCTTTTGGATTGTATTTTGGTGTCTTGCCCTTCTCTTTGTCGAAATTTTCTCGGTATTTAATCTAACAGCAAATGCAAAAATCCAAATTATTCCTGAACATAAATTAAATTGAGGACTGTGAATTGGAAAAAATATAAATGAAAAAAAAATATGTTATACATAAAGTGATCAAATAATTTATTATCCAAACTAGGACTCTTTTAATAGTGAAAGGGACATTATGGTAATTAGGTTGGGACAACAGTCAATCAAGAATAAGATCCAGTGAAATTGTATTTGCCATCTTTCATCGCTCTGGCTAATCATTTTCAGATAAGCCAGAGTGACGAAAGGTGATCACCTCTTTTTAATGCAAAACAAAAATAAAAGGAAAATGCATTAGGCTAAATTCAGAGAAGTGAGCTGATGTATTTGATTTGGAGCAACTTGGCCCACCTAACTAGACAAGCTGAAAGCATTTTAGATCTGTTTCAAGGAGTTCCAAGAGGGATTGTCAATGATCAGAAGTATGAGATGTCAGGCACCTGTTAAGTTAGGAGAATTTGTTGTTATTTTAAAATAGTACTTGGGCTACATCATCTTAATTTTTTAAACTTGGCAAAAAAAAATGGCATAGCTTTTGAGTAAAGAGAACAAAGTTTAGGAATTAATGGCTTCTACATCATTTCAGACTAGAAGAAAAAAGTGAGCTACTTTAGAATAATGAGAAAATAGGATTAAATATACTTTTAGGTTCATAACACTAAGACAATGCAAAAAACTAAAGTACTTTAATTTAAAAAAATAAGCATAATGCCTGGCACTAATAGTTGCTCAATAAATGTATTTGATGGAATGAAAGGAAGAAACAGTCATTATGCCTAGGTAAAATAGCTAAAGATGTTTTATTTATAAGAAAATTCAACAGGATAAATTGAAACAGGAACATATCCTTACAAAAGACAGACTAATGCCTTTGTCAAGAGTATTGTAGGATTAAGTCCTCTAGTTGTTCACTCCAAGAAGAATGAAAAATGAGCTCTTTCTAGATGCTAGCCAGCTAAAAGGGCAATATTTGACTCTCTGGAAAATCCAGAATTTCTGTTATTGGTAAGGTGAAAGACTCGCCCATTCATTTAGCACCCTAGGACTCACTCACACCGACATTTTACTCTGTAGACATTTAAAAGCAGCACCCCTCATGCTTCATCATGTTACTTCACTTCCCCACCACTTTACATATTCAGCAGGACAGACACAAATGAGACCACTCAAATGCTAAGAACAAGGACATCTGCCACCTCAGAGGAAATGCATCCACAAAGCTGACACTCACTTCTTTTGAATAAACCTACGGTGGAAATGCATAGGGAAAAATAAGCATGCAGAACAGTACCACGTGATGCAGGCACATGGAGACAGATACATAAAGGAAGAGGAGAAACACAACATAAAAGGAAAAGGAAATGTAAATAACTGGCTCCTCTCTGAAAAAAATTCATTCTCAAAATAAAGAAATGAGAGGCCTGCTAAAGAAAGTCAGAGGTCATGAGCTGGTGCCTGGACCAAAAGGAAGCTTCTTGTAAGGGATATAGAAACCCGTAAGGCAGGGGTTGATCCCAAGAGCTGTGAAACACAGAAAGGCAAAGTAAACCAGATGTCCAGAGTCAGACCGAGGAAGAAGAATTGCAAAGGCCCAGATTCTCAGAGAAAAATAAAATCTGCTTCTTTTAGAAGTATGTCAGATTCCTCTTTCTGTCTTTTAGGAAATAACTTCTTTCTGAAGAAATATTTCCTTAACGAGCAGCAAATCCATTGGTCTCGCTTCAGTATCCTTTTCTTCTGTTAGTTTCAAGTAAACTTAAATTTTCAGCTTTTTCATTAAAAAAATCTATGCCTCCCTTTCCCACAGAAAGACCCCCCCCCCCCAAAGCAAATGCAACCTAGAAAACGACTATTAGGAATCTGAGTTCAGCACAAAATGGACTTCCTTTTTGACTGGATCTTCTTAAGAATTACTTACTACATTTTGAAAGATATGGACACACATCAGATTCAGGACTCCAGGAATTCTGGGACTAGGCAGTAAGTATAGTAAATTCCTGGCATTGGACTAGGCAGTGAGTACAGTAAAACTAAATACATGTGCATTACGGAATGGTAAAGACTTCTTTTTCTTGTTAATCATGGAACCTGAGAGGCAACCATGCAATGCCATGTATTGTCAAGTGCAACACCAGCATTTACAATCCCATCAGGCTCAGATATTGGCTTATATGGATGTGGTATAGGAAATATTTTCAAATCAATTATTCTTCCAAAATTTAATTTAATTAAAGGTCTGAGATCCAACTGTTCAGCTCCTTATCAAGGAATTGGTACTTGTAATGACTGAAGAACAGACCCAAGAATTAGAAAACTTCTCGCTATTAAGACTGTAAAACAGAGGGTGAAAGAACTATGAGTTCATAGTATGCCCGAACAGAGAGACTATTAAGTGCCAATCTCAAATGTATTAAACATCAACAATGGCCATCAGCAGAGGTTTTCTTTGTGTGGTGGAAGATGAGATTCTTCATTTGTTTTCATTTCATCTTTTCATTTGATCTTTGTCAGCAACTCAGAATATACTGGGAAGCCATGTCTGAGTCTAGTCTATCTTCCTACTCCAAGTGGCATGTTCCAGAGGGCAAGCTTCATGCATAAAAAGATGGGTGTGTACAAAAGTATACTCTTTAACAAATTTCCATAGCATTCTACACATGCCGACACAAAATCAACAGGAAAGAGTGCAACTTGGTCAGTCAGTCCCCTGACCAAGGCTAGGAAAGTCGACAAGAAAAAGAGGAAGACAGAGATCTCGGCTTGCCGGTGCCAGTCTTACATCACTCATGAGTGCATTAACTTTCTTAAGATGCCTCATCATAGGGGTGTCATAAGATGCGGCGCCGTGCCCGTGTCCTCTCCTTTGGCCTTTGAGGTAGTCTGCCTAGAGTGCCAGCAAGACAGCAAAGTCAGAATGGGGAGGGCCCACCTATAGGGGAAAACCTATTGGGCCAGGGGGTCACACCAGGAAGCTGTAAATGCAGAGGCAAGCCTTTCACAGAAAGTAAACGCAGGAAGGTGAACTCATAAAAGGATCTGGTTGGGTCTCATTCTCCATATCATAGCATTCACTTAGAATTAGGAATATGAGCCTCCTGATGTTTAAATACAGCAAAGTCTTCAAAATGTCAACATGCAAAGTCATTTCTTTGTTTTTAACTTGATAATGGTATTACCTTGGGAATTTAAAAACATATTAAAAATTTTTGCATTAGAAAGTTCTTGTTACATTTCATTACTCTTAGAGATTAAACCGGTTTTTGTTGGCAATTTCATATTTTGGTCTCAAATGCTTACACAATTCCATTAATTTATAGTAAAACATTGCATAGGAATATTACATTAAAAAACTTAAAAAGTCATATTTGCTTGTCATCAGGCATCTGAACCTTGTCTCTTCATCATCATTATGGCTTGTCTTGTCCCTTGATATTACTACTTTATACCTTCCAAAAGATTGGAATCCCATGTGTGCTATTGCTGAAAGTCATACATAAAACAACCAAATGTATCCCAAACCTGTTTCTTTTACTTGAGAGAACAGACAATGAAGAAGGTAGGACCTCTAAATTGGAGGAGAAATAAGATATTCTTGAGCTCAAGTCCTACAGGACTAAGACTTGCTCTCTGAAAGAGCTGATGGTGGATCATGGAGTCTCTGAGCTAAAGTCTGAAAACCTGTCATAACTCAGGAGTATTATAGATAATTGGTCTAACAAGGGAAATTAGGTAAGGTGGCAATTAGGTTTGAGCAACACATTTCTGAGTCCATCTTCTCAATAATATCGAATCTGCTAAAATGAAGCATTCCCACTCAGCACCCTGCGCATACCTTGATCAAACATTTGTCACCCCTATGGTACTTACTTATCCATGGATCTATAGTCTGAGGACATCTCCCCTAGGACCTAGCGCAGGCACTTCATATATGAACGTTGAATGAAAGAATAAAGGTTACTGCATCTGGTTGGATTCTAGACACTTGCATTTAACAAGACCTCACAGGTGAGTTAAGTATGAATCAAGCCCTTGGGATGTAACCTCCCATGTCTAGAAACAAGTTCCAAGAGGAACTCTGGAGCTGATGTTCTTATCACATGAAAATAGCTAAGCACTCAAACACCCCTGGACACATACCCATAAATGGAAAAGTGGAGAAAAAGAAAGGCCTGGAGATGTTAGCCATAAACAAGAAAGACGGTCCTTAACATATGTGTTCTGGTACGTTTCAAAGCTACTCTTTTCATGTTAGAGCCACCTCTTGCCCATCTGCGTTACCTGGCTGCTCAGCTTGGCCGCCTTCTTGGCCATTTCAATGTCTGGGCGACCAAGCATGCTTAACCCATGGCTGCCCTCCTTCCGGTGCTTGGCTCTGTACTCCACCTGCATCAAAGGAAACCAAAATGGGCAATACATCCTCGGTGGTGTGGCCCTTGGGGATCAGGTACATGTTAACCACATCTTTACCTCGCTGGCCTGCTTGGCTGCCTGCGTGGCCTTCTTGATGTCGGGCCGATCAGCCACTGTGGTGTAATGCAGGTTTTCTTTGGCATCTTTTCTGTAAGCAACCTTTATATTTGGGGAAAAAAAGTTCACTCCTTTGAGAGACATGTTATCCTTCCAAAGTACTCATTAAGTACAAGGGACCTTTTTATTAAAACCAAACTAATCCCACCACCATGTTTATTAAACTAGAAGACACAGAAGTTAGGGTGACAGGAACCAGCATGCACCAATTTGAAATCCACGGGCTCAGTGGGCCCCCAAAGAGTGTCGAGAGGAGAAACTTACGTCACTCTGCTTCTTGGCCACTTCCATGGCATGTTTCACGTCTGGGGGCTCCATCATGATGGAGTAGTTGGATTTCCCTTTTTCCTTGACAAACTTCTTTTTGTAATTTGTCTGAAAAGAGCCGGAATTACATATGTGAGCAGGGGAAGCTGGGAACAGGATTGATTTACTTGAAGAACTTTGAGATCATATCCAGGGAAACCCAGAGCTCTCCGTTTTGGACCTGTCTGGAACCCGGGTCTCTCGGTCCATATTCTGGCTCTTCCCTGTCATCTCTGTCCCATAGCCCAGCACTGGAACCACACACCAATCTTTGGAGAAATGACCACAGGGAACTTAAGCTCTGTCATGCATCATTTCTACCTTTTTAAAACAGATGGAACGATGTAGGGCTCATAAACTAGGATATCATGATTATTAATGTATTATTGATTAGGCCATAGTAGACAGAGATTACCAAGATACAGAGGTGGTTTGCTTCTCTAAAATTGTTTAGCAGTTTAATGGTAGGATAGGCCAATCTCCATTAGCGATCTTTTCTCCCCTTATCAGCACTAGGTTAACAACAGCTTATATTGCTAGATAACATGACCCTTGGCAAAACCCACATCTGCCATAGTTGCCTTAATTGGATAAATAAGTTGTCCTTTTAACCAGAGTTCAAAATTGTGATCACAGACAGGTGTTGATGGTAAGAACAAAATGACATAAAGGAAGGCGTTTGTAAGCAAAACGGCAGCTTTCGGTCTGGCTGGAGCCTAAGGTCAAGGGGCCCAGCTGCTGCCCAGTGCCCTGGGGCTGTCACTCACGTCGCTGACATGCTTGGTCACTTCCTTGACGCGAATAGTGTTCGGGGTCTCCGGCAGCGTCGTGTACGAGCCCTGGGCCAAGTGCTTCTTCACGTAGTCCTTATACTTGTTCTGAGGGAACCCACAGCAAGTGTTAGAGCGTCTGGCTGGGCGTGAGCCCGAGAGGAAAGCAGAGCCCACGGCAGCGGCAGCGGGAGGGGTACCTCGGACACCAGGTGGCTGACAGCCTTTGCCAGGAGGATCTGAGGAGTGTCGGGCACAGCGTGGCAGCTTCCTCTCTCCTTGACATGTTTCTCTTTGTATTTCAGCTGCGGGGGTGAAGAAAGCGTGTTGTTAGCTCCTCTGGGTCTCCTGCATATTTTTATTAAGCTCCCAGGTCACCAGACAGAGCTGGGGGAACAGCATGGTTGACACCGGGGGAACATGAAACTCAACACAAGACGTTATGTTTGGAAATCTTGGGAAACATGCAGTGATGGTTTTCTTTATGTCTTGCAAGTGAGGTTAGATTTTAATAATAATCAAAATGGGGCTTGAGATGAATCTTTACACATATAGCCTAGTTCAAAGCACTTTCAAATATGTCATTTCCCCCTCCCCCTCCCTTTC